GGAAATTTTTATCCAATTTCAATGTAATTTAATTCTCTTTCATATGTATTATAATTTTATTCATCTTTAAATTTTTAATTTTTGAATACATGCGATAATTATTCATTCAATTTTTAAATGAATGTTTTGATGGGGCGAGCTTACTGATAATAGACTCATCCCATCAAAACATTCCCTTGAAAACTCTGGCCTTCATCGAGGCCAGAGCTCACAATTGATCTCCTTAGAGCCAAGTTCCTAGACGGTCGTCCTCATTAGATTCGATCCGAGAGGAACTTGGCTCTGAATGAAATTCATAGGCTCTGGTCTCAGGAAATGCCAGAGCTTCGCAAACAATCCTTGGGGCTGGTTCCCTCAAAGGCCGCCCTGATTCAGGGCGGCCGGAGAGGAACCCAGTCCCAAGAGAGCGCCCATACGAAGCTCTGGCCTTAGCAGTGGCCAGAGCCTGCAAATACAATCCTCAGGGCCGAATTTGAGGGAGATCGTCAACATCATTGACGATCTCCCTCAAATTCAGCCCTGAAAGAAAGAAATACACAGATTCTAGCCTCAGAAAAGGCCAGAACTTCGCTCACAGTCCCCAGGGCCGGCTTTCCCAAATGCCGCTCTGACCCCGGGCGGCAGGCGAGGAATCTGGCCCTGGGATACTTACCAAACGAAGTTCTGGCCACAGTAAAGGCCAGAACCTGCAAGATCAATCCTCAGGGCCGATTTTGAGGGAGATCGCCCACATTATTGGCGATCTCCTCTCATATCGGTCCTGAAAGACTTCAAAATACAGGCTCTGGCCTTAGCAGAGACCAGGGCTTCGTTTACAGTCCTCAGAGCCGAGTTCCCTGAGATTGTCCAGATCACGGACACTTCTCAGCGGAACTCGGCTCTGAGAAGCAACAAACACTAAGCTCTGGCCTCAGCAAAGGTTCAGGGCCTCGCTTACAGTCCTCAGGGCCGGATTTCCCAAATGCCGTCCTGATCTAGGGCGACAGGAGAGGAATCCGACCCTGGGAAACAGCAAACCTGAATTTCTGGCCTCAACATATGTCAGAGCCTGCAATACTAATCCTCAGGGCCGAGTTTGAGGGAGATCGCCAACATCAATGACGATATCCTCTTATCTCGGCCCTGAAAGACATACAGATACAGGCTCTGACCATTGTTGAGGTCAGGGCATCACTATAAATGGCAGTTTTTCTATGTTCTTTCATTTTCTGAAAGATCATAGTGAAAAGACTCTCTGATGCTTTATTGTTTCAAAATAGTACATGCGTGAGATTATAATTTTGCAGCAAATTTATTGATTGCATGCAAATATTTGATCTTAATAATTCAAACATGCAAATTTAGGGTTTACCTGTTACAAATAAAATATTTGCTTAACAGAACTCTATTTATAATGAATAAACACTCTTTTTTATATAATAAAATATTTATTTCATCATCAATGATAATTGAGTAAATTTATAACAATAAATGTATTTACAATAACAAGTACATATCATTCTCATATATGCTTATCTTCAAAACTCTATTTTAAAAAAGATGCCTAATTGCATATGCAATAAAAATCAAATTTTATAGATTAACACATTGAAATTGTACTTTGCACAAAATATTATGCTTGTACTAGTAAAATCTTTTAAACAATTGTAAATAATCAAATATGATATTTGATGTGATATATGTCTAGACCAGAGATTGAAATATGAACAGGAGAAAGACATGTTCTGATCATAGGCAAACATTGGACATCAAATACTATGCTCTATATAAAAGTACGAAAACTGGAAAAAAAATTGAGAGGGGGTACGAAAAAAAAGTCTGCTTTTCGTATCGACTCTTAATGAAACATAATTGCTTTGTTAGTTATATTCTTGTTTTTATTGATGCGAAGAGAGCTTAAAGTCATATATTGCTACCCTCAGGAATGATGGTTTTTTCTCATTTTGATCTTTTGGAGTCATAAAATGAATGTATTCTGTATTTGAATAAAACAATTGCGAGAAAAAAAAATCAAGGTTTTTTGTCTTCCTGAAATGGATGCATCTTCACTAGCAAGAAGCATTCATATAGAAAATGGTTTAGTCCTGTAATAAACAGAAATTCATCAAAAGTGACAGCTCTCAATTTTTTGACATTTGTAAATTCTAAATTGAATGAGAAAAATGAAATAATACTAAGCATAATACAATATTCTAGATTTAATTATAATTAGGAAAAAGTTAGTTTTGAGAGTACTTTTCATAGGCATATAGAATGAAATCTTCTGAAAAATAATATCACATAAACTCATATTATTTTCTAATATATAACTATTTTATATAAAAATCAAATTCAATGATCTTAAAAGCGAAGGATAAACCTCAAAATTTACGAATATAATGAGTGGGAATATAATGCTTATCTATCATAAAACCATATGAAATATTAATTTTTGCTTTACGCCTAATTTTTGACGACAATTAGCAAAAAATGTTAAATGTTAACACTCAGTCCATTTGAATATGAAAAATAAAATTGACTTTGATTAAATGTTTTTATTTATCATGCAATTCTTCTTGCGACCAAAGATTTGAATAAAAGTTCAAAAAATAAGATAGCTTAAAAAATAGTATACGGTAGTGTTTACTAATAGATGAATAGTATATAAATTCTATTAAAATGGATTTGATCCAAAAAAATATAAAACCAAAAATAATTGTTATAATTTAAATGAAGAAGTAATTTAAAACGATTTTATTTATGATCAAATTTTATATATTTTTTTGGATCAAATCCATTTTAATAGAATTTATATACTATTCATCTATTAGTAAACACTACCGTATATTATTTTTTAAGCTATCTTATTTTTTGAACTTTTATTCAAATCTTTGGTCGCAAGAAGAATTGCATGATAAATAAAAACATTTAATCAAAGTCAATTTTATTTTTCATATTCAAATGGACTGAGTGTTAACATTTAACATTTTTTGCTAATTGTCGTCAAAAATTAGGCGTAAAGCAAAAATTGATATTTCATATGGTTTTATGATAGATAAGCATTATATTCCCACTCATTATATTCGTAAATTTTGAGGTTTATCCTTCGCTTTTAAGATCATTGAATTTGATTTTTATATAAAATAGTTATATATTAGAAAATAATATGAGTTTATGTGATATTATTTTTCAGAAGATTTTGTGTTCTTCTTCAAAATTTTATTTTTTTATTAAAAAGAATCTTTACAAAATATACATTGACTTTAATTAATATTTAAAAACGTGCTCTATCAAAAGTTCCAAAAATTCAATATTTTAGCTTTTCTGAGGTGTCACTTTTGATGAATTTCTGTTTACAACAGTCCATGTAACAGAAGCATGTAATTTATAATATTACTATCTTTAACTAAACAAATCTTGCATTGAAAATGATTCAATTTGTTCAAGGTTTCGAATTATGAATTTGCTTCAACTTTTCACTTAATAGTCCTGACAAAAGAATTTATTTCATTGAGAGAAAGATATTTTTCGAATTTGAAGGCCTTTAATAATCAATTTGAATCAAAGTAAAAATAAACAAGAGAGATAATATTGATTAATGACAAAAGCTCATAAATTTACTTATTTAAATGGATTTTGCGCTTATATTTGAAATAAGACACTTATGAAATCAAAATTTTCAAATTGAGAGGCGTAATAATAAAAAACAGACCTTTTACAGATAGAATTTAGCATTGTGGATTATCATATCAAGTAATTCACAGAGTAATATAGATAAAATTTCGAGATCAAATTTCAAGAAATTAAAAATCATTGTGTAAACGCAAAAATATAATGTATATTGCTTTTTTATTGACTTAAATAAAGATCTATTGAAACAGTAGTGTTTGGGAAATCAGTGATAAAATTTATTGAACTTGGCAAAATTAATGAAAAATGGGAAAAACATGGAGTAAATAACTACTGTTGATATTGTTATATAAAAATATTTTCAAGAAAAGTTCGAGAAGATTGAAAACGATCAAATAAAATTTTTAATTTGGATATACATTTAGACTAGCTTATCTTAGTAGAGGCGATTTTATGGCCAAATATAAGTTTTTAACGAAAAATGATTTTTGTTGAATTTTTTGTGAGGAGAGTTCAAAAAAACTTCAATGAAAATTGTAAACGATAAAAAAGTTTTTGATATGAGAAGATATACATTGATTGATTTAAAAGGAATTGCGTGTGTAAAAAAAAATATTAATTGTTCGAATAAATTTTCATTGTTACTAAAGTGGATAAAATATATCAAATAAGGATATTATAATGAAAGTTAAGAATAATCGTTTGAGACAAACGGCGCGGTTAGAAAAAATCAAAAAAAGCATTACATGGATTTAATTATATTAAATGCAATTATTTATCAAATCAATGTGTAAAAATTGTAAACTGATAGTATATTTTTTGAGAGTAGCATAAAAATTTTGAGAGAAAGTAACGAATATTTCATAAAACGCACGTTTTGTTAAGTGCATGTGATTATATAGTCCGAATGAATTGCATGAAGCATACGCCGATGGCTATCAAAATTGAAATCATATTTCTTAGAATTATTGATTTGAGTTTCAGTCAATTTTTACATCTCTCAGAAAAAATTGAAAACACTTGTAAGGAAAATAAAAAATAGATAATTGCATTTGTATATTGAACCTGATACTTTTTGTCTTTCAGAATTCTCAAAAGTATCTCATTTTTCATAAATTATGCGGCAAAAAATTCAGAATTTTACTTTTATCAAACCGCAAAGATAAAATAAGAAAATTTGGAAATTTGTTTAAATGTAGTACTTATATACATATTCACATAAAAAATTGCTTTATCAGTGAAAAGTGACCCTGATTTTTTTAATTCACCATCGAATAAATTATATCCATTCCAATAATATTACAATAGAACAAAAAATTCAATGTCTTATCAAATCGTTTTTTTATAGAGATTTAGCGGTTTTAATATTTTAAATTAAATCATTCCAGATAATGTACTCATACCAATCTGCCCAGCCATTCAGAACAGTCAGCAGCTTCAACTACGATTACAACTCAAATGATTCATCCTCCATATCATCATATGATTCCTTCTCGAATTTCATGTCCTCTTCATGTGACGAGTCAGGCGAAGGTTCCAACATTTCCCTTCAAGAAATGAGCTCATATAACAAATATGGATCAGCTCACTACTTCCTTTCATCGAACAGTTCCATCTACACCACATCAAGTTGCTTCAAACTTTAAGCAATATTGATTGCCTTATTCCTTGTTTGTATGTAAATAGTATTTATCGTAAATTTATTCATTGACTTTTTTTCTCACTCGGTAAATTTTTTCGATTATAATTTTTATTCGTTCAAACCTTAAATTAATAAGTCCATGTAGTTATACTATGCATGTTTAAAGATATTATGTCGACTATTTGGCTGTAGGTCGATACTTTAACCCTTGATATCCCATAATTTTTGAAGTCTTCATATATTATTTGATTCAATTATGCTTTTATATATGCGTTATGCAGTATGTTAATAATCAATCGTTAAATTGTTATCCATTCGAGAAAATAAATATCCAAAATTATCATTTGAAAATAGAGCATTAGCATCTATATTTAATCACCAATTTTGTCATGTTACAATTTGAGAATCTCTTTTTGTTTTTATGTCTCAATATGTAAGATTTGTTGTAAGATATATTTTTATGATTTTTATTCAAATAAAAGCATTTGGGAGGAATGTATCTCAGATATCCTTCATAACACAGTTCATAAATGAGGAAATTTAATAAAATTTCCATTTTGATATATTTTTATTTCCGCAACTCTTTGAAATTGTTTTTTCAAGTTAGGGATATTATATTTATACCACAAATGGCTGATTTTCAGAATTCATTTTTGTTAATTTGATTTCTATGGTGATAAAGTATGCTTATGGATAAGTACTGCCGAAAAAGGTATCCTGCTAATAGATGTTATCCAAATTAAGGTTCGAAAAATATCAAACCAAAATCTTTGGAGTTATGTACTATTTTCTTCAATTAAGAATTTTCTTCGTGATGCCCTTGATAAATATTTGTGTGAAATTGAACAATCCTATAATTTAGATTTCACTCAAAATAATAGACTCATTTTCAAGACTGCTTACCTAAAAGGATAAGCTCTGTGTAAATTTATCAAATGGTTTTCCAAAGGAAATAAGAGCAAACACATATTAGCAATTTCAGAACTTCGACAAAAAAAAATTGTCTCTCTCTCAGATGGAGAATTTTGTCACTTTTTATATCACTTTTGATTGATAGAAAAAAATGGGCACTGAACAGAGCGTCAGCCGATTGGACTATGTTCCATTATGGGACGGCCTTGAAGTTCAGCCAGCCAAGCTAAAGCAAAAAGTACATAAGAAGATTCCTTTATTCAAAACTGCATACCATGGAGTTTGGTCTTTTGCTTACCCTGACTCTGTTGCGCCAGAACCACGCGTCGGGCATGCCTATATCTATGATGCTTCAACTGAGAGTATTGTTATTGCATACGGATATGGTTCTTCTCAAAGGTATCTTAATGATATTTGGATGTTAAATATTGCAACGAATAAATGGACTCAAATAAAAGCCAATTTATTGTCTCCACGATCTTACCCATCCGGAACACTTGTTGGTAGACAATTTTATGTATTTGGCGGTGAATGCAATTCGAAATACTACAATGACTTACATTCCATTAATTTGGATACTGGAGAAGTACGTATAGTTGAAGTCCCAGGTATTCAACCCTCTCCAAGATCATCTGCTGTCTTTTTTGCAATTCCAGATGCGTTATTTCTTTGGGGAGGCTCTACAAATGGTCAAATTCATAGCGGTGTACATATTCTTCGTGCCAATGCTGATGGCTGGCATCGCCATGAGTTAATGCACACAGGACGTGCAGCTCCAGCATATTGTACACATCGCGGCTGTTATTACATTTTCGGGTCAAGTAAAGGTCACGGTATAATCAAATTTGACCCACACAAAAAGTCATTCGAGTCTCTACATTGCACAGGAACAGAACCATCTCATGAAATGTCGCATGCCGCCATTTGCGGAGTTAGTGACTATCTTTTCGTCGTTGGCGGAGAGGCAGAATCATCATTCATGCACATCTACGCACTGGACCTCAACAGAAATTGGTGGTTCGCATTTCATGTCCGACCAGACATGGAATCGCTCGGTCCTGAGGACGGAGCCATCAATAAAGTTGGCCTTTTCATGTTGCCGCGCGAACATTCCGCGACACTTGTCTACCACGAGAAAACAAGAACTCTCATCTCGACACTTGGCTCTAAAATGCACAACCCACCTCCAACGTTCCATCTGTCGATAGGACAAGCACTCGCTGCTTTGCATATGAGGAGTGATATGTATGATGTTCTCCACCTTAGCCTGCCGAAGAGTTCTTTAACTGCGGAAGTTGATGCTGAATAAAAATAGATTTTTTGTTATTAATTTTTATTAATTTTATAAAATAATTTTATTTCTTCAGATTTTTTAGATTTTTATGGTTATACTCTTATACTTTAAATTGTTTAGCTAAAGTATTATTTGTTTTCTCTTACATCTTGTTTGTTTACGTTCAAGTAAAATGAGATGAATATAAATAGTGAATTGGATAGATAGTTCTAGGATAAATCAAGATTACTTGGTACAACCTTTGATATTGGTACATAAATCATGATCAAAAATCGAAATGAATTGTTTTCTAACATTTATTTAGTGATTCTGTTCTATCTTTTTATAAATCTAAGAATTGTGTCTGTTAAATTCGTATGTTAAAGTATTTTTGCAATTACAGTCTTTTGGGAAAAAATTATTTCGTAAATTTGGTAATCAAAATGAGCCATAATGGCGATGTCCGGATTAACAACCACTTGTTGCAGATTTCTCAAGGATATGTTGGTTAGTATTTTTGTAATTCAGATTCTTGGAATTTTGAATTGACGATAAGTGATAAAATGCTATATGAAAGTAATGTTTATCCCTAGCAAGATTATTATATCATATAAAAATGGTATGTTATATTTTAGATAAAATAATGAATCTCCAAATCACTCGTAGATAAGCCATAATTTAAAAAATGATGGATTTTGTAACTAAATACTCTCTATTTATTCGATTTATCTATACTGAATTTAAATTCAACATTACACCCTGAAATGTAAACACTTTGAATTTAAAAAACTACATAATTAGGATAGACGTAACACAAACATTTATATATCTAAATAATTCAGAGATCAAAATCAAACTGTTGAATATCTCCGTAATCAAAATTGATGAGACCATCATCCATCATTGGTGGTTGGGTGAAGTCTTCGATAATATTCTGAGAATAGAGTGGTTGTGCTTCAATCTCATGAACGAACTCTGGTTCAGACTCGTGTTTATGTCTGTCCCTTTCTTCTTGTCTCATTAAGAGAGCATAACGACTCTTAATATTAATATCTGTACGGCCTGTGAACTCCTTAGCGATTAAGGACCACTTTCTGCCATGTTGTTCAACGAGATTTAATAACTTCTCGTCATCTTCCTTGCACCATGGGCTGCTATTAAGATGTGGAGCAAGGTAGTTTTTATAACGATCTCTGCATTGACGAGCATTTCTTGTAACCATGTACTCACTAACTTTCTTCCAATTTGAAACACCAAGAACTTTAACAAGAAGCTTAAGCTTCTCATCTTCGGATGGTGTGAATTTATCCTTTGGGTGTGGCTTTCCAACTGGAGACATCTTTATTGGGATGTGAATATAAAAATGAACTGAGGAAGATAGAGGAAACAAACGATATTCAATTTTCTGAACTCCCAAAACCTTTGAAAAATTATTCAACTCAAATTATAATTGCAGTAAATTAGAATATTTAATGTCATACATGCGAGATTTAATAGTTTAAATTTTGTTATCCATAAACAATATTCTATGAGGTCTCTTAAAATATCAACTAAGATAAATTTTGAAAATCTGAAGTCTCATCACACTTTTCAATGCTCGATTTTTAAAAACTGTTTAAAAATGGAGCTTATATTGAAATAGTGTAGAGACTAAAAATTACCTCAGACTTTTCAGAGGATTGAGTTGCCACTCAATCCTCTGAAAAGTCTGAGGTAATTTGCAAAGTTTATTGAGTTTTTGATTTTCGGATTATTATTGGATGGTGAGTCTATTTATTAGTTATATGTGGTAGTTCTCAAATTTTTCAATATAAATTATTTACAAATCAGAAAATTGTTATTGTTACGGAGAAATAAAAAATGTCACAAATGGTATTTTAAATAGAATATCAACTTAAAATATTCCCCGTAATAATAACCGACAAAAATTGAAAGTGGGGTTATCAAAATTCAATTTAAACTATTCCGCCATAATTTAATTAAAAATTAATCAATAACCTGATGTATAATGGCAATTATATCCGATCAGAGGATTTCTTTCAAAATGAATCAAATGTTGGTCGATGCAGATATATGTATTAGATGAGCAGTCAAGGAATTTTTTTCAAATCCGAGAGTTCAAACTCTTACCGTAACACTTTGAGAAATTTTATTTCTCACAATTTTTGTGAGTGTCATCAAATTTAATAGGACTAATGGGAAAATTGAGAATTTCCATGGTCATCAGGTATTCTTGATGTTTTAACTACGTACATATATTTTTAATAATATTTGCAAAAAACAAGAAATGTTGATAAATCACCTTAGACAAGAAATTTCATTGACTCTCACTAATATCATTGATGTATTTATATTATCAAAGTATTATTTCAATTGATTTATTTGATTTTATCATAATTATATCAATAAGTTTAATCAATTTATATCTGATAACTTCTCATATAAATTCTGTTTTCATGTAATATGTCCTTCTAAATTCTTCATATGAAATGGATATTTAGACTTTATTCAATTTGAAGATTGTGGAAATGTTACATTTCTATTTGAACACTTCGTCATATTGCTATTTAGACAAATACATTTCATTTTTATATAGTTATCTTAAATAAAACAATTTCAATGATTTCCATTTTGATCAAATTTCTGTTATAGATGATTAGAATGCGTAGTATTGTTCACTTGTGTTATCATTTGGAAAACCATAGATATATTAATATATTGTCTAAAATCCTTAAGAAAATTGAAGATTCGATCCAATTCAAGTACTGAAAATCTATTTTCACCCTTATAAATACCATCATAAATAATGATATGGTTATTTCATCAAAATTTGTGACAAGAAATATGCTGAAAACGTCTTTTCTGTATCTCGTAAATATATTATTCACGCTATACTATCAATATTTTAATAATTAGGTTTTCTGCATTGTTACTATTTCTTTTTTAGTTAACTATTATGATAACCCCAAATTCTTTCACAAATTGAATTCGAAGCCTAGTTTTTTTGTATGAGAGAATAATATTAATGAAAACATTGAGTAGATTCATTTGTATAATGATTTGGCTGTAGATGAATAATAAATCAGGATAATGATTTAGCAAATCAGAATTTTTTTAAATTGAAATAAAGAAAAATAAAAAAACAGCCCAGACATATATATGATTCGTGCATTTTCAAAGTAATTTAATCGCAATTGCGCATAATAATAACTTATTTCAAGAAATTTTAATCAAGAGTCCAAATTTAACAAATATGTTTGGTAAAACCTCTACTTCATTCCCTTACTTAAATTAAATTGAATTCCAATTAAAAGCATCAGAAGTTTATGTAATATATTTACCATTATTAGTGACTGAAAAGTAAAACTAAAAATAGTCATCAAAAGTCAATAGAAAAGGGCTGACAAGATATAGATCATATGATTATAGTAGCATAATAATTCATTATTGATATATTTGAGAACAAAATGTATTAGGGAACAATTCAAGTATACATTTTACTTTAGATTGGCATTATTTTGTTATTGTTCATGGATCAATAGTTCTACCTCATTATGAAGAACTATTTCATTAGCTGAGTTTTAATAATTAAGCATCATGAACGATGGAAACACTCCCCTTAATATGGCTTTTGCAAAAAAAAGTAAATAAATATTTCAACATCTCTACAACAAGTTGAAGAGATTGATTGAACCCAAATAGCGAAACTTGATGATTCTGGTTATCAAGATAAAAATACGAGCACAGCAGTGCGATGAAATCTTTGAAATATTCAAGCACAGCTAAAAGTTATAATTTCCATGGATCTTGCTAGTAAAATGTAATTTTAAAGGATGCACAAAGTAAACAATGTACATAATTAGATCAAATAAAGGAAAGACATCAATAGCTCGAAGATAATATTCAAGCTTCAAAAAATTAGTAATACTAATGAAAAAAATTTGCAATGATTAATCTGAAGCTAATATTATGTCTATGTATCTCAATTGGTAATTGTTATGTTAACTCATTAGAGAATTTAAATTCATTTTGCTTATTATGAAAGAATTGAATGTATTTAAAGAGTACATGTGCTTTGATTTTTCTTTGTCTTATTGCTTTCCAAAATTCATGCATGGTTCACTCAGTTTGGTGATGATTGAATTCATTGAACTGATTTTTCATAAGCTAATGTGCTTGTGTGTTTACTCAGAATTCACTTGTAAAAATTTATAGTCTTTAATATTCAAATATGATCCATTCTTTAGGTTTGAGAGTCAATTCTTTCAATTAGAGATTTTAGTATGGATATATTATATTATTGACCGATCACCCATCTGTGCACAGTAAAGTTACCCTGAACTTCAAAGTGATTAGAGAAAAATGAATATGGATAACTTGAAAATCTCAAGATTGGATTTTTTTATCTGAAAATCTCAATGAAAATCTTATTAAGATAATGTATTATCAGAATATAATTTGATTCCTTTAATATAAAGTTCAACTTCATCGGAAACGTTAATCCAGGATTAGGATCACTCAAATCCGAAAATTTATATTAAAAATATTATTAAAATGCTTTCCTAGATTCACCATATTAAGGGTAGAAGGTAACGTTACATTCTTTCAAAAAAACATCATCGACTTGGTTACTTGAAATAAGGGTTTCGTTTTGCTAAAATTGTCACTTTTATAGCATATTTGTTTTTGGATGTTTTGCGAAACCAAAAAAAAAACAAACTAAAAAAAAAAAAAAAAAAAAAAAAAAAAAAAAAAAAGGTAGTGGGGCTTCCAGGCACTTCGTGCCCTCTAGCCCCGAAGATGTTTAGTATAAATGAAGTTCTTATATACGGGTCTTCCAGGAGCTTTTCACAAATTATATATGTTTTCATGTTTTGTCAAGACTTCTTCGTAAAATCAGACAAAAATAATGTTTAGGGTAGAAGGTTAGATATAACCTCTTTTCTAACCTCTTTTCTACCCTCTTGAATTTTCAAGACTTCTTCGTACATGTTTTGTCACTTTTCTGTCACTTTTCAGGAAAAAACATTTTTATTATTATATATAAATGAATTTTACAAAACCTCCGTTACCGTTCTTTGGAAATAAGAGTAAATGTAAAGATATTATATTGAGAGAACTTAAGAAACTACCGAATGGTCTAACATTTGTAGATTTGTTCGGTGGAAGTTTCTATATATCCCATTTGTGCCATACTGTATTTCCTGACTCAAAGATTATATGCAATGACTTCGACAACTATATGAACCGTCTCAAACATATTCCAGACACTAACAAAATATTGAAAGAGTTAAAAGAAAAGATACCTATAGGTAAGATGGAACGTATACCATTAGATAAGAAAAATATTGTGAGAGAGGTTTTGAAAAAAGCAGAATATATAGACTGGGATAGTATATCTGCTAGACTATTATATAGTGGTGCTATAAGAGTTCATGACATTGAAACACTTATGTCAAAAGTTTTATATCTCAATTATACAAATGTTTTCAAAGAGGACATAGAAAAATATATTGAGGGTATAGAGTTTGTGAGATGTCATTGGACAGAGTTGTATGAAAAATATAAAGACAAGGAAAATGTTTTCTTTATGGTGGACCCACCGTTCTATAACACATGGGATTTTCAATACCAAGTAGACTGGACTTTGAGAGACTCTTTAGAAACTTTAGACGTTTTACATAACCATCCATGCTTTTACTTTACATCCGATAAAAGTGGTTTGGAAACCGTTATGAGATGGTTAGAGGACATACATGACTATGAGTTTAGATATGACAAGATAGAATATGAGAGAGGTCCTATAAACTGGAGAAAGTGTCACAATAAAGAAATTTTATTGGTAAGTAAATGTGGTTTGAAATAGGACTACTTGTTTTAGGTTTTTTCCATTGTGTCATTTATTTATTTGACGTGGCAGAAAGATATAGAGAATATGAAGATGAACCAATGTCTGCAAATGTTCAGCATATGTACTCGTAAGAGATATTTTTATCTAATATTAAATGGACGCACAGAACTTAGCGAATGCACAGCAACCTGGACAACCAAACCCAGAGAATATTCCAAATGAAGTTAGAATACAAACTGCAATGGCAAACTATGGTCAAGTGCCAACAGATGTACAAATGCAAACTGCCATGTCAAATGACGCTGCGTTAGGTTTGCCACCATGGTATGCAAATATGAGATGGAAAGAGTTTTATACAAACCCTGAAGTGGGATATAAACAACTTTATGCAGATGACGCGAACACAGGAGTTGACCCAGAATATGTTTTCTACCAGAGGAGAAATAGAATGTATGAGCTCCAGTTAAAAAATGCTATGGAACTCAGAAGGAAACGTAAGAGACTAGGCGGACATTAGATTTTTACATATAGTAAAATGGGTTTCTTCAGTAGTATTGGAAACTTCTTTCGAAATGTTGGAAGAGGTATATGGAATGGAATAAAAACCGTAGGAAGAGGAATTTGGAACGGAGTCAAAAATATTGGTAAAAGAGTAGGTCAGTTTGTTGGTATTATACCTAAAGACCCTGAACCAGAAGAACAAGCTCCTGTTATACAACAGCCTGAACCTGCACCACAGTCAAGTTGGCAACCAAATCCAACACCTCAACCGTATTAAAAAATTATATTTTTACCGTTCGATAGTAGTTGTATATGAAACTAAGTTCTAAGTAAAACGCATGGTATAATGGAATTATTCTTTTTCTTCCATCTGTAGTAAACCATACTTGAAAGTCTGAAATACTTCCACTTGGTGGTTCGTATAACTTTGTAGGTTTTTCGTAAAAGTCATTTGCCAAGCATAAAAAAGAGTTTTGTGCACCAGAAAATGAAGCATGAACTATAATAGCATCTGAGTCGAAAACATCTTTAAATAAATATGGTTCATCTCTTGCATATCGACTGTAAATATTTGCTAAAGGAAGTTTGACTTTCTGATTTAACATTCTTTGCAAATAATACCATGACATTGCAGTGAATTCTGTATATATTTGTTCGTCTTTCTTTGGATTGTCTTCGTAGATTTGAAATGACACTTGTGAATTTTGTTTGTCATATACAATTCTCACATAAAGTGTGCTCTCGGTATTTGCATATTCATCAGCATATTTTGCATAACATGAATTTATTTTATCTTCTATATTTTTTAACGCAGTCTGTAGAGAAGATGAAAGGTCAACTTGTATTAGCTCAATTTCTTCCCACATTTTTCGTTTCCCTTCAGATATATAATCTATATGAAACCTTACAATAAATGGAAAACTTTTATCTTCTACAGACACAAACTTCATTCTACGAAAGCCAATAGCTTTTGTGACAGATGGGTCTCTTAGCCATCTTAATGGGTAGTCAAAACGATAGCCTTCATGCTTTACGGTCTGTCTCAAACTTTTTGACCGACATTAGTAAAAAGTTCATCTAATGGTTTTATGTAGCAACTCTTGAATTTTCTTTTTCTATTGGAAGCATATTTTATCTACAATAAAAATGTCAAATAACAGCGTCTATGAGAGAAATACAACACAACCGACAACTCATTATGCAAGCTCTAAATAAGAACACAACAAACTTTTCAAACTATTCTAAGATATCTGAGTCATTGAAAGAGGAAACTTAAAACTGACAATAAACCCAATGACAGATGAGTTTCTGTTTCAAGACAATAAGAACCATACTGTCTGATAAATCCAACAAAAGGAACTTTAAACGAGAAACCTATAATGAACTTCTTTTGAAAACAGATGTTGACAACAAAGCTGACAAAGAATATGTAGACGATGCAATAGCAAAAGAAGAAGAAAGACTAACAATGCTTATGCAACAAAAAGACATACTCATCCTGAACTAGCAGACAAAACATATGTTGACAATAAAATGTCAAGTGAAGTGACAAGAGCTGAAAACGAATATTCTAAAAAGACTCATACACATTCTATATCTGATATTACAAACTTACAAGAAACCTTAAACAGTAAAAGTGACGTTGGACATACACATACATCTTCTGAAATAACAGACTTAAACGTTAGCCTTGAAAATAAAGCAGATAAAACATATGTCAATGAAATATACCAAAGTTTGATAGGAACAAAAAATATTGAAACTATTGTTGGTGACTTTTCTGTCAATGAAGAAAATAAATATTTTAGATGGCAGTTGGTACAGTCCTTAGAAAATGGTATACGGTATAAACTCATTCCGAAAAATAACAATGAAATGTATGTAAGCTATATAAAGAATGATGGTACACAAGTTAAAGTTCCATTAGACAACAACTGCTACTTAAACTTATATGGAGACGAACAAAAATATTTAAGAGTTTATGAAATGACGGATATGACATTGTCTAACGTAGCTCCAGCACCGTATTATTATGACTATGGTGTTGACGCACGTGTAGACCCAAAAAGCAAACATTATATTTAGATTATTATAGATATAAAAGATATAATGCAATAGAAAAAACAGAAATAGTATATTATTATACAGATGACAGAAATAAATATTATAGTCAAGATTTACCTACCCTGAAAACATAAGATTATATTATAAAAAATATTCTGACACAAACCAAAGAAACCTGAAATAGTTACACTATATTTTAAGTTCAAAAGAGACAATCCTATATTATCTCAATGTTTGATTTAATGAACCCAGTAGGTTCTATTTATACATCTATGGAAGCAAGAAGTCCTCAAGTAATGTTTGGTGTTGGTGCATGGGAACAAATAGTCGACAGGTTTTGTATTGTGCAAACTCTTCAAAGAAACAGGTGGAAGTAAAACGATTTCAGGTGAAAATTTACCTGCACACAGTCACTACATAGATTAAGTACATCTCAAGCAGGTTGGCATAAGCATAAATTTTGGGATTGGCACGCCTTGAAAAAAGGTAAAGGATATGATGTTAAAGACGACGTTCAGTTTGCTATAAATTGTTACTGGAGTGACACTCAGGGAGATGGAAACCATACACATCGCGTTTCAGGATATACGCAAACAACGGGACAAAGTAAAGACTACATGCCACCTTACATGACAGTTTACGCATGGTATAGAATTGCTTAGTCGTCATTTTCAACTTCTTTAGCATATTCGTCAGGAGTTGTCTTATATTTGTTAGGAACTGTCTTTGAAAGTATACCACCTTGAACCTTAACAAGTTGAAACGAGGTCTGACAATAGTCGTTTTATCTTCTGCTTGCAGTCTGTACATTTTGCCATGTTTGCCTAAAACTTCATAATATTCTCTTGTATACTTTCTTCTATTTTTACGAACACGAATGCGAGTACCTGTCGAGTTCCCATTGTTGTCATAGTCAATAGTATTTTCATATGGGTCGCGTTTAGGTATTTCTATTTTTACTTTGTCACCTTTCTGAAGTTTGAAGCCCGGCATTCTTTCTTGTTTGTCTCTTTTGACTAAACTATTAAATATATAGTCTTTCTCTAAGTCGGGGTTGTTTTTCATTTCTTCGGGGGAGTGGTTTCCCAAACCTTTTTGTTTACGGCTATTGTAAATATTTAAAACTTGTCTCATCTTTGCCATGGAGAAGTGCCTATATTTGTCGTCATATGACATTTCATTTACTTCACCACCTTGTGGTTGATTTAAGTCTCTTAACATTTTTATACAACTGTCAATGACACCAAGAGCAGAATGGTTTTGGTCGACAATGAAATATTGGTTTACATTTTTTGAACGCAGATAGTTTTTTACATCATCTGATTTGAAAGAACTTTCACAGTCAGATGTCAGTTTTGTTGGATGGTATTTGTCAACGAATATTGTCAAAGCAGTTTTCACATCTAAAATATTTTTGGACCATAATGGTATGGCTTCACAGTATCTTGTGTTTTGACCGACAAATATTAGCCAGTATGGTGGTCCATCTTCTCTATACCTCGGAATGTTTTCCAAGATATCCATAAACCAAGCATTTGGTGTTGAACTAAAGATTTTTATCATGAGTGCTTTCTTTGTCGCTTTAGAAACATAGGGGTCCTTGTTTGGATTCGTCATTTTTATCCTATAAGAAATGGGTTTATTTGGCGCATTAGCAGGAGTTGCATCTAGATTTTTACCCGCAGTGGGAACAATAGCCAGAGGTGTATTTGGAGTTGGAAGGAAGATTTTGAGTACATTAGGTATACTTAAAGAGAAAGCACAACCTATTATACAAACTGTACAGAAAGGTTGGGAGGTAGCACGAGATGCAGCAAATCTTATTCCAAATCCTGAAACAAGAGGAAAAGTTCAAGGATGGATGGACAATGTAGGAAGACAAGCAGGAAACTATTATAACAAAGCAAATGACTACTATAACCAAGCAGGACACTATATGGACCAAGGTGAAGATTCTTTAACAGAGGATATAACCATGCACAACAATGGTAAACAATAACCAACCTCAACCGCCTCAAACGTGGGAATGTAAAGTTTTTTACTGAGATGAAATGAACAATACAGCATTGAGACAAATGGGTTCAAGATGGATTTGTCGGCTTCCAGCAGTTACACAACCACGTGTTTGTCAAGTTCTTCCTATACCTCAGGAAGTTTTTTAGACCGACTTAAAAAACCTAAACAACCAGTTGAAAACAAAACAAACTAAAATTTTTACTGAGATGAAATGACCGAAGAAGTTGAAACGGTAGATTTGACACCACAAACAAAAAGTTCAGAACCATTGTCAAAACCTGTCAAAGAACTTACAGATGAAGAGAAAAATTCAATAATAGAAAGTGCCAGGTCTGGAAATACAAACCCTAACTACAAAGTCACTTTTCATAGAAATGGAACGGCTAGTATCTCAAAAAAGAAACAGACTCTCACAAATAAAATATTGAAGTCTGAAGGAGCTTTCGAGACAACAGATGGAAAAGTTACTTCACTGACCAACAGTTCATTATAGAACATCTCATTGACTTAGAGTCGAAATATTCTAAACTTTACAACAAACACAAAAAGTTGAAAGGAAAACAAAAACAAATGGCATATGATATTTATGAATATGTTGACGACACAACCATACCTGCAAGTGAGGTAAAGTCAGAGGAACCGAAAAGTGACGAAAAACCAATAGAAGAAGGGAAGCCACAAACTGAAGAAAAACCAAAACCAAAGGTTAAGTTTCCAAACTAAACCAAGTCAACCTTCATTAGCTGGTATGGGTTGGCGTCAAAGACTTATGGCAGCAGGCGTTATGTAAAGTAAAGAAAAACATTTTTTTATTTTTATAAAAATGCCCCCATATAGAATGGATAGAAAATCTGCTAGAATAAAAGCAGAGTTGCAAAGATATGGTTGGAGAGTTTCGAAGAAGTTTAAATATAGGAAGGGAAGACCCATAAAAGTCTATGACAAATTGTCTGGTCTTCGCTATGAAATGGACTTAGAAACAGCACGCGCAAATTATCCAAACAGACTAGAGAGGTTAGAAGAAGAACGTCTTATGGACATGCCTTTCGATGTTAGTGAACCTCAAGTTGAAGGACACGACGGCTTTGCCAGATTCTACTGGAAACATGACGAACAATTGCATCCTTTGAGAAAGGAAAAAAAGGAAAAGGTGAAGACGCACATGCCCATGGAAAGAACAAGATATGCATATGAAAAGTATCGTGAAGTTAGAAGTCAAATTACATCTGGTCGAACCTTTACAGTAAACTTTGACGAAGGAAAGAACAAAGAAGGCTTCATGGGTGTACTTGCTGCCATACAAGACGGAAATAAGAAAGGATACAATCTCAGATTGACCATAACAGATTTGGACGGTCATATATACTATGCGCATGGCAATGTCACAACAGCTGCAATGCTTCTTGACGCTTTCAAGACTACAAGAGAGAACAAATGGTTGACTCCGACTCAGACATTTTGAATGCAATTGAGAGAATTGCAAGTGTAAATTTGAATGGTATGAACCTAACCCTCAGCAGTCAGACAACATCTGGATACTTCCCCTTCATAAATAAGTCTGACATTGACTTGACAAGGTATGGAATTTACAATTCAATTGAAACAATTGTCAATGAACCTTGCATTCTTACATGTCTCAGGAACTCTGGTCTTGTTACAGATGAGAAGATGAAGTATCTTGAGTCATGTGTGAAAACAAGGTACATGCTCAGAGGTCAATTGTCAAAATTGCACCGTTGGCAAATATGTGAATATCCGAGTCAACATTCCGACTGAAAAGGTTCTTCACATGACGACTATGTTGTTTGACAAGACTTACCATGGTTGAAGATTGTAATTGTCCACAACCACTTCATGTTGAACGAAAGTCTTACAAACCCATTGTTCGGAAAAGGCAAGTGCAACATTGTCAGAGCTGTAAACATTCTTTTCGAGAAAGGTTTGTTGAACCAATTCCAGATGACAAGCTTACAGAAACTTTTGTACCAAAAAGACGAAACAAACTTTTCATTGTTAGCAAGACCAAAAAGTTGTTCCAGACAAAGTTCTAGTACAAAAGAAGTACACAATTCCAAAAGGAGTTGGATTGTTCGGATACCAACCTGAACCAGAAGAACTTCCAATGAGGTTGCAAGAACTTCAAGATGCTATAAACAAACTTCCATTGAGACATCCAATTGACGTCAAATTGTATTGGAGAGCTTCTGAGTTAGGTCAGAAGGTTTTATATGAAACAGGTTGCTTCGACGATGTTTATGAGATAACAGGAGAAGTTTCTCAGAAAGATAAGAGACTCACTTGAATTTCCACAAACTGGACCAATTGGTTGCGACAGATTCGACTCAGATGAAAAAATATACTATGTCGACCTTAACGCTGCATACATGAGGTTTGTCCAATATATCCCGACTGGAATTCCAAACGAAGATGGTGAGTTCCCGGGAAGGAACTATACAGTTGGAAAAGTCATACAACACTGTATGATATTAGGAAAGCTTCAAACCCCAAACTTGCAATAGACACTCAAATTGCTTATGAATTCGACATGGGGATATTCCATTAAGAAACCTCAAGAGATGAAGAGTAAACATTATGAGAAGGTCGACAAACTTTGTTGAAAGGTTTTCTCCTTTTGTTTTGAAGTACGAATTCACTCAAGGTCAAAGTGGCTTAGTAACCACATTAAAACCTATTGTCGAACATTGGTCCTATCCTCAGTTCGCAAAGGCAGTCCTTGACAACTACAACAAATTCTTCTCCGAAGTCAAATCCAAAGTGAAGGTTTACTATGAGAACATTGACGCACTCATGACGAACGAAGAAGGCTATAACAAACTCATTGAAATGGGAATGGTCGGTGAAAAGATGGGTCAATTCAAATTGGACAAAATTTTCACCGAAGTTCATGTCCTCTCCAAGCGTAAGTACTGGGGCATACTTGAAGACGGCACAGAAATAAAACATTGCATGAAGTAAAAAATTTTTATTCGAATTTGAATCGGACAGGTCGAGTTACACCATTCTTGGTCTCAAACTCATATATAACCTGTTTGTTTGTATTTTCGTCGACTATGACACGAGACACGAACATTGACCAAACGGACAAAAAGTGTCATTTCAGATGGTCCCGCAGCCAATCGCATTCGAGCACTTCGAAGAAGCCTTACGTTCCAAGGAGAGGGTGTCTGGTGCAAGGCAGAGGTCATGAGACTCTACGAGCAGTACATCCTCAATGCCTGGGAGGACAAATCGTCCTTGGAATGGCAATTCTACCAACTCCTCTGGGACGACCTCCTACGCAACTGGGATGACGAAAGAGTCCAATTCAGAGGTCAGGAACTACTTTCCAAATTATCCTTAATTTAAGCTACTTATCCAAATAAACACCTAAATTTACTTGGGGTTTCCCCCTAAAATAAAAAATTTTTTTTACTCTTAGAACCACTCGAGGTTCTCCTTACGGTTGTTGAGCTTGTCACCGTCAATGTGTCTGACCCTCGTCTTCTTGTCTGGATTTGGAACCCATTGAATTGCGACAAGCTTGCCCATGGAGATTGAACCGCGATTCCGAAGGTTAAGGTTCAAGTGTCCCAAGTTGTTGAGGACTGGGGTAAGAACCTTGCCTGTCTCCTTGTTGCGGATTTTGTATGGGTAGGGTTGGGAAATTTCATAAGCGTCATCGGCAACAAGGGTTGCCCAAACTTCCTCTTCTTCGTGTTTCTCTTCTTCCTCTTCTTCCTCTTCTTCCTCTTCTTCCTTCTTCTTTGATAATACCTTCGCAATTCTGTGTTCACGAATTACGGTGTTGGAGGTTCTGTCCTTTCCGAGTACCTTCCAGATGGCGTCTATCTCTTCGAAGAAACGGTAGATGAGTCTGGCAAGGTCTCGGTTCTCTCTCGCGTAAATGCGCAAGGTTTCCGTCAAATCATTCAGGCATTTCTCATTGGAAGCTTGGTTCATGAGGACATCGGCTTTGAGCTTGGTCATCTCTTCCATAAGACTACTTTGGAGAGTCTTAACGGTGTTTGTCAGATGAGCTTCAAATTCAAAATTTGAATTTGAACTGGGCGCTTGTCTGGCAACATTGAAAGGACATCTGGCCATTGTGTTCGGCTTCGGTGCTTGTTCGGACATCGAAAAAATGAAGTGGTTTGAGAATGACGGTTTTACTTCAAAAAGCTTGTTATGACGGTTAAGTCATACAACAAGTTTAAAATAATATCTTGTTCTTCTTCTGAACGTTTGTTGTCTCTTTCCGATAAAAGTTTCGAACATGAGAACCAAAAAACGTTTTTTTGAGATTGCGGAAGAGTTCAGGCAAACGTTCATATTCTGGATATGTTGGGAGCAGTTCAAAACATCTGAGCTGACTTCGGACAAAATTGGGACAATGTCAGAAAATTCATCTTTGGTCGGACTGCTTGAAGGTAAGTCCCTTACATGTAAGTGCTCTGGTAAAAGTCTTCTCATTTCTGCTAACTTTTGGAGTATAGCTTCGTAGTTTAGAAGTTTTAATTTTAAATGTCTTATTCCACTCTTGACATCTAAACGGTAACTATCCATGAGGTCAAGAGTAGCTTTGGTAGCTTTAAGTGGAGCTATCTGTTCCTTGACTTCTGCAATTTTGGTTGCAATTGTGGTTTGAGCTCCTTCAAGTTCGCCGTCTATGTCGTTCTCAACGCCTTCAACCATGGCTTGAAACTCTTCATCGGTCCATTGAGATTGGTGTGGGACGAATTTAACTTGCTTCATTCAAAAAATGAAAAAAAATGTTTTACTCTAAACGTGCCATGTATATGGCTATAAGAAAACTTACCAGAAGGCTTCTTCTTCACATGAGTCTTTTGGCAACTTGAGTGTTGGTGTTGGAGTTCTTGGGGAGGTGGCTCTGAAATTTCAAATCTCTCTCGAGCGCAACAACAGATGTCAGAATAACATTCCCCACTGTCCTTCTTGCCACCATAAACTGTGTATTGACCAAACTTGCATTTACAGGAAGACCGGTCAATACAAGGTTCACAGTTGAAATAGTTGTACACAAACCTGTTGAGTACGAGTGTGAGTAAAAACATAAAAAAAGTGAAGTGAAAATGAGATGTTTACTGAACTGGTTGGATGTCGCCTTCACAGGTTATGTAGAACGGCTGACCCGAGAAGTGAAGGAGAGACTGAATTGCCAATTTCATATGGGGTAGGGGGTTCTCCTTGTTTGGTATTTTTATCCAAGGACGTTTGTTTAGGAACTTAACAAGAGCTTCTCTTTTGGCGTCCTTTATGCCATCGTAGGCTGTCCCGTCTGGTATTTGAATTGGAATTCCAGTCGAAGTCTCGAGATTCAAGGCAGCCCTTCCAGAAATAGCGGTGAACTTGACCTTGGGCTTCATTACCCTGCGCAAGTACTGCTTAACAACTTCATTTATCTCTATAAGGTAAATTGCCTCGTCAAATCCTTCTGGTATTCCGAGTCCTTCCATCCGACAGGAAAATATTTTC